CGCTTTGCAGGAATATCCCCTTCAACCCTAAACCCTGGGTTTGCGGCTTAGGGTCCAGGATGGATACTGAAGGAATGGATCTGGGGAGTCGCCCTTGTGGCAATGAACACCCTGGACCCTAAACCCTCTTCCTTTACTCCCTACTACCCACTACCAAGCAACTGCTGCAAGACCTCAAACTCCTCACGGCGAGTTTTCAACACCTGGATACTGTTCAAAATGGATGGCAAAAAACAGAATCAGAATGCAAACAAGGTCTAGGGCTGAGGGCTTTAGAAACAACCGGCCTCCTTGCTTGCTGCACTCATCACTTTTAAAGCCACCTCCTCGCCACTCTTCCTACATTGCGCTCGGAATACCTTCCCGCTGGATCCTCGACCGATCCTCTCCTTGCTGGTGCTTCAAGGAGAGAGGACAAGAGAGTCATGGATACCATCATCATTGAGCATTGAGGTTTGGATCTAGAGTTTTGGGCTTGGGGGATGGGGTTCCGGGCTTAGTGCAGGAGTGGGGAAGTGGATCCCAACAATGTTACCTCTATCATCTCATCCCTCTAGAAACCCCTCCTGTAATACCTATACTCCTTTCCCCCGCTCCCGCTTAGGCACCAGTACTCGTGACCTTAAACCCTAGCCCCTAAACCCTAACCCAAAACCCCAACCCCTGAATCGCGCAAGTCTCCAGCAATGAGTACTTCGCCTCAACCTCCTTGTCCAGGACAATGTCGGATGAAGTGACAGAAAGACTGGAAGACCTGAGTGCGCGGCAGGTTTAGGGGTTAGCATTTAGAACTCACGGATGAGTGTTTAGGATTTCCAGACTGGGGGTTTAGGATTTAGCAACAGATTTTTTAGAGATGAGGGTTTCGGATTTAGGGATGAGGGTTTCAGGCTTTAGCGGTTGGGGCTGAGGATTTGAGGCTCATAGTGGGCTCCAGGGTTTTGCGCTAAGGAAAAAGCACAACGACCGACGACTGTCTTGGGCGCAGTTGACATCTCAGCCCTTTCAGTAACACCAGAACCTGACACCCATGGAGGCCATAAAGCCGTGTGAGCCTATTATCCCCATGAATAGCCCTGGCATACCCCCTTATACAACTCCCCATATAACCCCTTTGAGGAGTGTAGATTATGGCTCATTTGCCTAGGCACGCCGCCGAATTCAAGTGCACATACCCATCCGCAGTCATGGCTTTGGCTCGATGCGGCAAGCTTTCAGAAGGTGGCCTAGGCGGACTCGAACACTCAACGACCGAGCATGTCTAAAATACCTCGATTTGTGAGCTATTGTCTAGGCTCCTTAAAGGTGGGTTATATAGGGGATCATGTTACCCCGTGTATTTAGGGTGTAGGGTGCATGGTTTAGGGTTAAGGGGGTGATTTCGGGGATTGTAGACTTTTGCCACCAGCAATAGAGAAACATAAGGGTTTAGGGAGAATGACCATACACAGGCATTGAAGGTGTCGCTGCTTCGCCCGAACGTGGTTTCAACAAGTTGGACTGCAACTGGGCTCCTAACAATCCAACATGAGGTTCTCAAAACCCTCTTCAATAAACCCTAAGCCCTAAACCCTATAAGCCCTACACAGTTAACCCCAAGCCGTGAAATCCTAAGCACCTTGAAACGTCAAAAACATACATTGTTTTCAGCCCAAACGCCGTGAGTTCAGCACCAGATCCCCACTGTGGAACTTGCGTCGTTCCTTCAAACTTCTCCCCGCTGGGGCTGGACCCATGGCACTGCAGATTTGGCAGAGTTACCGGGAGTCCTTAACTAAGGATAAAGCATTCAATGATATACAAAACCAAAATGTCATGTGTAATGTTGTAAAGACTAATCTAGACTTGCACACCGAGACCGTCTAAAACTTATCGAAATCAGCTCAGTGTAACTTGACGGCTGTGCGTAATATTGTAAAGTTTATTCTTAAGTTAGAGTGCATTAGGCTCTCTGGGCTCAGGGCTTAGGTATCAAACCTCACCCAGATTGGTAAATAGATGATCATGTGTGGCAACATTTGTAGGTACACCTATGTTCGGTTACATTAAACCCCAAACCCTGAAGCTTGGACATCCCTGGCATTGACCTCGGCGCCCCAACCGGAGGGCACCGCGACCGCCAAAAACGCATAGGCACGGCACACTTGAAGCCAAATGCCTACGGGAAAATTCATAGCTTGGATTGAGGGTTCAGGATTTGGAATCCAAAGTTCAAGGTGTAAGACTCAGGGTCTCAGGGAACTTCGGCACCATATAATTCTATATGGGTCATGTAAGGATGATGTCGGGATTACAGAAGAAGAATTTCTGGGGACGTGGTTCAAACTCGACCAAAACCCGTGACCTTCAACCCTAAACCCTAAACCTTAAAGAATGGTCTTTGTGCAAAGTCGGAGTTGGCACCTCCAAAAACTGGATTTTTGGAATCTCCACATCAAAAACCCTTCAAACCCTAAACCATGCGACCATGCATCAGCAACAAACCGATTTACAGAAGCCACTAAAATGACATTGCGCGACTAGATAGCTTGACTCAAACGGTTACGGGATTAGGGATTAGAGGATTAGAGGTCTGGTCCGCTCATCGAGTCGCTTCGCAGCTTCCTGCATAGCGACCCTCTAATCCTTGTGTAATGCCGAAAAGTCCCTGGGATCTCGAAAGGGTTTCGGGGGTGGGGGATTCAGGGTTTAGGTATTAGGGTTGTTGGGCAACCTACATACATTAGTTGCAGTCATCACAGTTGATCGTGCTAAAAACAATCTCTTCAAGTTGCCCCAGTTGGTGTAAGACTTCTTGTTGCCATGCGACAAGCTTGGTGTGAATTTTTGCGACGTTTCCGGAAATCAGACAGAAAATCATAAAACTCAACCCGGACCAAGTCCAATGGATCACGGGGAGAATGGACAGTGCAATGCAGGCTCAAGAGGGACCAAATCCGGTAAATCAACTGGGAGCACACGGACAGTGGAAGGAAAGGCGGAGCAAGGGCAGCAAAAATCCAAAAAGCTATGCTCCACCTGCGAGCAAGGATGCTGCGGATGGAGTGCAGCATCCTTGCCGTTGCGTCTGAGGACAAACACGTAGGATCAAGTTCCACATCGTTCGTCCCAGACTAGTCCGTTACGCATGCCATGAAAATGTGTTTACATACAGACAGTAAACGCTACAGTAAACCCACGCTCTTTTTTGACTCAGATGGCAAAACAGAAAAGTCCCTAAGCAGGCCCTACGGGCAGTGCTGCAGAGACAAATGCCTGAAAATCCAAGTGCAATTGAGCAAGAGCTCGACCCAACAGGGAAAGGGGCCATCAGAAGTTGAGCTCTAGACTCTACATAGTCAGACGGAATCAACTATGTAGGAATCTATGAGGGCACTATGCGGAAAGAACGAGAGCTCTGGGACCTCTGCAAATGAGGTCCAAGGGACAGAGAAAATCTCCGCTGGCTTAAAACCCAGTGATGCTGGTCCGTCCGGAAGACGACATGAAAGGGCACATGTCCGGGCGGCAATAGCTGCGAGAGGAGCCAAAGCAGAGCGACTTGCGCAAGCATTTCCCAGGCAGCGATGCAATGCTGCGGTGAAGTGTCAGACGGAAACCATTGGAAAAAATCTGACAGCTGCTGGGCGGAGAGGGTTTGCGCGAAGCATGCCTGACGGCCATCAGGCAGACGGATGAAGCCTCCGAGGCCAGCAGAGGAATCCTCGGCGCACGCATCTGCGGAAGCCTCACAGACAAAGAGTGGGCGGAAGAAGATTGACCGGAAAGGGTGTGGAGAGGCAGCTAGATTCGTGCACATACAGAGCACTTCCTGTTATTTCCATAAGTTTTCTGGGGAGGCACTCCAACAACAAAGTGAGAAAAGTCACAAAGACATACATCACAAAACTTCCGCACAATAAAAGCGGTCCATCAAATAGTATCGCAAAATATAATATAAATTCTTCCAATCGGAACCCTGTGCAACGTGACTCTGTTTTTCGACAATGGGGCATGGATACAGTCGGTTGCATGCGCACACGCATCTCCACATGTCAGAGGGCATACATCCCCACCACTTGTGCATCATGCCGCAATCGGCACGAGTGAGCAACCCACCCCCAAACACAGGGAGGGAGGGCGGGACAAAAATTTTTCAAGCTCGCACTCGAGCCGCAAAACTGCCATGCAACCATGACAAATCAGCACCATGCAAATTCCATGGTCACCAAGGACATGCATGCATGCACATGGAAAACAAGGAAATAAGGAGCTATCTCGCGCGCGAGAGTGCTTTCTTATTTCCATAAGTTTTCTGGGGAGGCACTCCAACAACAAAGTGAGAAAAGTCACAAAGACATCCATCACAAAACTTCCGCACAATAAAAGCGGTCCATCAAATAGTATCGCAAAATATAATATAAATTCTTCCAATCGGAACCCTGTGCAACGTGACTCTGTTTTTCGACAATGAGGCATGGATACAGTCGGTTGCATGCGCACACGCATCTCCACATGTCAGAGGGCATA